CAGCTCTGTCATTTGTAAAATGCAATGCAATATGGTTACCTGGAGGTGTTCTGTACACAGGGTACAGAACGCCCGCTGAAAATGTCATTTCCTGCTTGTGTGATTGGCTTACTGAATTTCCAGAGATCTGCACTAAGATACGAGTTAGATTCTTGGCATCCCCTGAAAGAAAAAAGTCATTTTAGGTAAAATACTACCTAAGAGAAATCACATCTAAAGGGATGCAGACCCTGCCACTTTCCTCATTAGAGCCCTGCAGGTGCAGCAGCTAATTGATTATTAACCAATTCCCGTCCGGCCCATGTATATAAACAGCCGGATGGGAGCAGTGCAGGCGCGGGTGTTTATAAACGGCCTCCCCACTCCCTGCTTGTGCGCGCTCCCTGGGAGCGTGCAGCACCATGATCCGGTGCCCGTTGTGTCCTCCGGACACAGTGGAACACTGATTGTTGTACAGGACCTCTGTGTGGGGTCCTGATCATGTGATCACTGATTGGCCAGTTAGTGATCACATGAAGAGTAGTAAGCAAGATGTCACTTCTGACATCATTGCTTACTACGTGTGAAATCTGTGAATAATCACAGAGGTCACATGGTACAGGGCTATTCACAACAGCCTTGTACCATGTGACAAGCTGTGACCAATCACAGCCCTCACAGTATTTCTCAATGGCTGCAAGAATGCAGTCAGAGAGAAGGAGAAAATTATTGATTTTACAGCCTTTATGGGTGTAAAAGAAATCAGTGTAAAAAAAAAAACCTTCATTACCCCCCACAAGTAGTACACTGTACTGCTAGGGTGACAGTATGTAAATAATAATAATAAATAAATAAATAAATAGGGGCAGCACGTTGGCCAAATGGTTAGCACTTTCCCCTGGCAGCACTAGGGCCGTTGGTTCGAATTCCAACCACGGCACCACCTGCCTGGAGTTTGCATGTTCTCCCTGTGCCTGCGTGGGTTTCCTCCAGGTACTCCGGCTTCCTCCCACGCTCCAAAGACATGCTGGAAGGTGAATTGGCTCCTGTCTAAATGTCCCTAGTATGTGTATGTATGAATGTGAGTTAGGGACCTTAGATTGTACACCCCTTGAGGGTTAGGGACCTTAGATTGTACGCCCCTTGAGGGTTAGGGACCTTAGATTGTACGCTCCTTGAGGGTTAGGGACCTTAGATTGTACGCCCCTTGAGGGTTAGGAACTGATGTGAATGTACAATATATATGTAAAGCGCTGCGTAAATTGACGGCGCTATATAAGTACTTGAAATAAATAATAATATAAAAAATAAACTAAAAATTAAAAAAAAATTTAAAAAATTATAATTTTTGGTTATAAACTGATTTGGGTTATTTTTTTTTTTTACTAAAAAGATAACTGAATACATTTTGACCAAGATGTATGAAGAAAGATTATTTATTTGCAAAATTGTATAAGAAAAACACTTTTTTTTCAAAATGTTTGGACATTTCATTTATATAGCAAAAAAAATAAAAATCCCAGTGATGAATAAATACCACTAAAATAAATTTTTATCTGTCTCAAAAAAATGCAAAAAAATTAATATGGGTACAGTGTTGCATGACCGCGCAATGGTCATTCAAAGTGTGGTAGTGCTGAAAGATAAAAATTGGCCTGGATAGGAAGGGGGTGAAAGTGTGCAGACTTGAAGTGGTTAATCAGTCACTCCCCTACAGATTCACTCTGCACATGGACAAAGACAAACAAACCGTTACTTCTTCAGAATAACAAAAGGTGGGAATCTGCAACAAAGTTTGGTAAAATCCTCACAATGTACATAGATCACCCAGTGGGGAATGTACAAAAGTGGAGCTACTCTTTAAAACCCATTGAAACCCCCAAAACCAACTGACCTAAATGTATTTTGCCAAGATGGTAAATGTTTGCCTAAATCTACTAGTCTTCAGAAAATGTAAAATTGTTCATATGACTTTTCCCTAGTTCTGGGTGAATGTTCCTGGATGCACTGACCCATTGATCTCTAGAAGATGCCTGGAACTGAAAAGAGTTCCAGGTTCTGTCTTCTGGCATTATAGATTCTCAGTCCTTCAGTGTCAGATTGCTTCACGTATCATAGATAGTCAATCCTGTGGACTTGTGTCGATGGGAATTGGGCTTGTTTTAATGACATCAGTGTGACATCTGTTGCTTCTGAGATCAATCAGAATTAACTGACAGGTGCTGTTTGATCTGCAGTTCCCCTACTTTTGACCTGCATCAAAAGAGTTTTGCATTCCAATAGACTTGTATGGGAATGGAAAACCCATCTGAAGCCAACAAAAGGCTTTTGACAAAGGCCCATGTCAGAGCCTGTACCTCTTGTTCATAGAACTCACTGTTAGAGTCCTCAAGACGTATATTACAGCTATACACCTACAACTAAAATATAATTTCTAAGTAGCAAAGCAATTCCATTATTTGTCTTTCTTTTCTTTTATAGGATCTGCATGCCCCACCTCAGGCAAAAGTAGCGTATGGCTTTCTGTCAATTTTGGTGCACTGAAATTCCTCCTCAGTGATATTACTGATTTAATGCCAAGCTTCAATGTTGTAAGTACATGTGTTGGAAGTTCTTGTCTTAAAAGCCCAACTCCAGTAAAAATTATTTAATTAGTTTTGAATACAAAAGAAAAGGGCTAGGATGGAGTGGAGTTACCATTTCTGTCTGGTTTTTATTGCTGTCTGTGCCATTATTGAGGAGATTTATGTTCATCTACTCTAGACAAGGAGTGATGGGAAATCTCTCTAATGTGGACACATAGAAACTTAAAAACACATATATTTTAGCATAGTGTGGAAGGGATGAACTGCTGAGAATGTTTATATTGCTGACCATGTCTTCTTGTCTCTGTGACAGTTACACCACCCCATTTCTTCCATTAGGGTCACAGAGACTGGAAGTGAGGGAATATCTCCTCAGTGGGGTCAGAGACAAAAATAAAAACCCAACAGAAATTGTACGTCTTCCCCTTGGCACATTGGATGGTGGTCAGTTAAGAAAAATATAAGCAGTGACAGGTCCTCCTCCATATACACCTTACTTGCAACTGTGCTTGTTTCCGGGAATAGTGAACCCTTTGGCACCATTAATATTTGCTGGTATGATTGGCAGTCACACAATAATCCAAACCAGACTTTGACTTTAGTTTGTCAGGAAAGATTGTCTGCTAGGGCCTATAGTAGACACCTGCATTGTCTTCTGAGGTCTACAGAAGACATCCACACTAGCCTGCAGTAGATGTCCCGGTAGGTTGCTAAGGCCATGGACGTCAGAAGGTGCTACAGATTGGATCCAACGAAGAGAAAATTCCTTTTCACACATTCAGTAAATAGGATTTGCCTAAAATCTATAAGGCCAAACCCAAACAGAACTTTTTAGAGCCTCTCCATCAGATGTGTATTGCATCTCTTTTACTATGCTTCAGTTTATGAATGAGCACAGTGAGCAATCAGTACCGATCACTCATTGTGTTCATTCAGGAAAGAAAGGGGCTGGTAGATGTGACATTTATCGAACCCTTCCCCTGCTCTCCATCCTGAAGGATCCTATTGTGTGCTTGCAGCTGCCGGTGGAAAGGAGAGGAGGGAAGCCGGTAGCACTGTGGGGGTGGGGACACACAGAGGGGTCTGGGCAGCAGGCACAAATGTATGGTGCACAGGGAGGTGATGGGTACAGTCAGGGGGGCAATTACTGGAACTGATCCCCTGTATGTCTCTCTCTGCAGAAGCTGAAAGCCAGTGGGAGGGGGAGAAGAAGCTTTCAGCTGCTGCATAAAGAGCCATTTTTCGGTTTCAATAATTGCCCCCCTGTTGTGTCGATCACTCTCCCTGCCCACATCTGATTCACCCAGCTGCCTGGGCCCCCCTGCTGGCCTGGGCCCCATACAGGACTGAGGGTACCCCCTTATCCACAGCCCTGAGTACTGGCACAGCCCCACTGCATGGACAAAAAAGAAAAACATTTCCTGGAATTTTTCTTTTAATTTTGGTAAGAATGATGATGCATGGACAAGATGCATGGAAGGCCAGCTAAGTGCATGGGTGGATTGATACACAGTAGGTAACTAGAAAGAGAATAATGCATCCAAATCTGGGTAATATAATCTGGATGAGAAAAAATTTGTGTGGCTTCTGATTGATGTATTGTATAAAGTATTTGAGAAGCACTGTGACAGCAGATCTGTATGCAATGGGCAGCCACCTAATAATTATCACCAACACAGAATTAAACAAAATCTTGAAAGTTGGAAGTTTTCCTCTGGTTCCCTTGTGTTTTTAAGTAGTGCAGGGATGGTCCAGGTTACGCTCATATGACGTGCACTGCACTTGGATGTCGGCATCTAGTAAAGAAAAATATATCTAGATGTTGTTATAAAGCGATAAGCTAGCTGTTATAAACCATTGTTCACGACTAGCATTATAGTGACAATGTTTCTTTCCACTTTGGCAGTTGGATGCAGTGTCCGTTCTAGATCCTCAGCAGCTGGGTTCATATGTGGGCCAACAACACTGTCTTGAAAACACAAACAACACAAACCCCCCCCCCCAGACCAGAGCAAGATTACTACAGTCTTCTCAGCACTGAACAGCCAAACTATTGGTCCCTTCCTGGATGCTTTCAATGAAGCAGCTAAAATGGTATTTTTTAATTTTTTTTTTTTTTACTTTTTTGCATTTTTTTTATTTTATTTTGCCATCTGTCCTTTTCTTTCTATATTCACTTTCCTATTGTTATTTTTCTATATCTGTTTAACACATTACTATTTTTTAGCCATTCTCTTTTATTATCTCTTTCATCTTCATTGTTATAATATAATCATATAAATCCAAAAAAGAAATCGCGCTAAAAAGGCCTTACAAGCAGTTGGCGCAACAATCAATAGAAATTGTGTAACAAATATGAATCAAAAGTGCTGCACCAAAAAAAAAAAAAAAACGATATACATGAAGTGACATAAATAAGGGTACATGGGAGTCCTTGTGCAAGTGCATAAATAATATTAATAATAGTTCCAAAGAAGTGAAAATAACACAAATTGTCCCAAATGAGAAATCAATCTATGGAAAGTCTTGATCTGCATGAATCAGTAGGTATTCCCAGGGGCGGACTGACAACTCATGGGGCCCCTGGGCAATAGGGGATCATGGGGCCCCTGTGTCCTTGCCCAAACTCAAAAAAGCCTATGAAAAAGGTACCAGGGGCATCTCATGGGGCCCCCTACTGACCCCGGGCCCTCGGGCACTGCCCGAGTTTTCAAATGGTCAGTCCTCCCCTGGGTATTCCAAACACCACAAAACGTTAAGTGCTCCACCACCTTGTGTACAATGAAAGTCTTTCCAGAGCTAATGGACACTTTAAATATAAAAAGAGTAAAATGCGTTTGTGTATCCTTGAGGTCCCTGCTTGAGAAATTAAGCCTCCTCCGGCTACTCCTCCTGATGACGTCTACTATGACGAAACGTGTTGGAGGTGATGCTGTCATGTAGACCGAGACCCAGAAGTGGATACTGTTGTTCAGCACCAGCGGAGGTTGAATGCCTGCTTGGTGATTTTATGACATTACGCTGGTTTTACCTCTATTTTGAGAGTATTTTTAACCTTATTAAATTGAAAAAAATGTGTACCTACTAGACTATGAGAGTCCTTTTTATCTATTTCTGTGGAAGTCCTTAAGATGTAATGCACAGAGTTCCGCTGTGAGAGACATATCCTGATGTGGATGATGTTAAAATCTTGTGTGACCATTCCTTGATTGGTGGTCATACCATCTGGTAAGGTGGATCTATACACACTGTGGTGAATTGGTGTAGTGATCTTTTATTACCTTCGCGTGGTGTGAATTTGGAATGACTCAATTCTTCTGTTTTTTGGAACGGCACTGATTTTGCACTTTTTCTATGGTGGACTTTTTGGGGACTTTATACTGTTTTTATATATATATATATATATATATATATATATATATATATATATATATATATATATATATATATATATATTTGTTATATACCTTTGGTTCTTTTGTTATATGTTACATAGTTACATAGTTAGTCTGGCTGAAAAAAAACAAAAGTCCATCTAGTTCAACCATAAAAAAAAAAGGTTTTAATCCTATACCCCCATTTAATCCAGAGGAAGGAAAAAAAACAGCAAAGAATGATCTACTTTGCTCCTGCAGGGGAAAAAATTCCTTCCTGATCCTCCGAGAGGCAATCGGATATTCCCTGGATCAACTTAGCCTATAAATGTTAGTATCCAGCTATATTCTGTGTATCTAAGAAAGAATCCAGGACTTTTTTAAAGCAATCCACTGAGCTGGCCAGAACCAACTCTTGAGTGAGTCTATTCCACATTTTCACAGCTCTCACTGTGAAGAAACCTTTCCGTATTTGGAGATTAAATCTCTGTTCCTCCAGACATAAAGAGCGCCCCCTTATGTATTATACATAGAGATCATATCCCCCCTTATGTATTATACATGTTGATCATATCCCCCCTTATGTATTATACATGGAGATCATATCCCCCCTTATGTATTATACATGTTCATCATATCCCCCCTTATGTATTATACATGTTGATCATATCCCCCCCCTTATGTATTATACATGTTCATCATATCCCCCCTTATGTATTATACATGGAGATCATATCCCCCCTTATGTATTATACATGGTGATCATATCCCCCCTTATGTATTATACATGGAGATCATATCCCCCCTTATGTATTAAACATGGATATCATATCCCCCCTTATGTATTATACATGGAGATCATATCCCCCTTTATGTATTATACATGGAGATCATATTCCCCCTTATGTATTATACATGGAGATCATATCCCCCCTTATGTATTATACATGGTGATCATATCCCCCCTTATGTATTATACATGGAGATCATATCCCCCCTTATGTATTAAACATGGATATCATATCCCCCCTTATGTATTATACATGGAGATCATATCCCCCTTTATGTATTATACATGGGAGATCATATCCCCCCTTATGTATTATACATGGGTGATCATATCCCCCCTTATGTATTATACATGGTGATCATATCCCCCCTTATGTATTATACATGGAGATCATATCCCCCCTTATGTATTATACATGGTGATCATATCCCCCCTTATGTATTATACATGGAGATCATATCCCCCCTTATGTATTATACATGGAGATCATATCCCCCCTTATGTATTATACATGGAGATCATATCCCCCTTATGTATTATACATGGAGATCATATCCCCCCTTATGTATTATACATGGAAATCATATCCCCCCTTTATGTATTATACATGGAGATCATATCCCCCCTTATGTATTATACATGGAGATCATATCCCCCCTTATGTATTATACATGGAGATCATATCCCCCCTTATGTATTATACATGGTGATCATATCCCCCCTTATGTATTATACATGGAGATCATATCCCCCCTTATGTATTATACATGGTGATCATATCCCCCCTTATGTATTATACATGGAGATCATATCCCCCCTTATGTATTATACATGGAGATCATATCCCCCTTTATGTATTATACATGGTGATCATATCCCCCCTTATGTATTATACATGGAGATCATATCCCCCCTTATGTATTATACATGGAGATCATATCCCCTTTATGTATTATACATGGTGATCATATCCCCCTTATGTATTATACATGGTGATCATATACCCCCCTTATGTATTATACATGGAGATCATATCCCCCCTTATGTATTATACATGGAGATCATATCCCCCCTTATGTATTATACATGGAGATCATATCCCCCCTTATGTATTATACATGGTGATCATATCCCCCCTTATGTATTATACATGGGTGATCATATCCCCCCTTATGTATTATACATGGAGATCATATACCCCCCCTTATGTATTATACATGGAGATCATATCCCCCCCTCATGTATTACACATGGGGATCATATCCCCCTTATGTATTATACATGGTGATCATATGCCCCCTTATGTATTATACATGGTGATCATATTCCCCCTTATCTATTATTATACATGGGGATCATATCCCCCTTATGTATTATACATGGAGATCATATCCCCCCTATGTATTATACATGGAGATCATGTCCCCCCCTTATGTATTATACATGGGGATCATATCCCCCCCCCATATATGCATTATACATGGAGATCATGTCCCCCTTATGTATTATACATGGTGATCATACCCCCCCTTATGTATTATACATGGAGATCATATCCCCCTTATGTATTATACATGGAGATCATATCCCCCCCTTATGTATTTATACATGGAGATCATATCCCCCCTTATGATATACATGGAGATCATATCCCCCCTTATGTATTATACATGAAGATCATATCCCCCCCTTATGAATTATACATGGAGATCATATCCCCCCCTTATGTATTATACATGGTGATCATATCCCCCCCTTATGTATTTTACATGGTGATCATATCCCCCCCTTATGTATTATACATGGTGATCATATCCCCCCCTTATGTATTGTACATGGAGATCATATCAACCCTTATGTATTATACATGGTTATATATCCCCCCCTTATGTATTATACATGGAGATCATATCCCCCCTTATGTATTATACATGGTTATCATATCCCCCCTTAATCTCCTCTTCTCAAGAGAGAATAAATTCAGTTCCTCTAATCTTTCCTCATAGCTGAGCTCCTCCATGCCTCTCATCAGTTTGGTTGCCCTTCTCTGCACTTTCTCCAGTCCCCAATGTTCTTTTTGTGAATTGGTGCCCAAAACTGAACTGCATATTCCAGATGAGGTGTTACTAATGATTTGTACCGGGGGAAATGATATCTCTCTCTGGAGTCTATACCTCTTTTAATACAAGAGAGGATTTTGCTCGCTTTAGAACCCGCAGCTTGGCATTACATGCCATTATTAAGCTTGTGATCTACCAGAACTCCCAGATCCTTCTCCACCCATTGATTCCCCCAGTTGTACCCCCCTAGTATGTATGATGCATGCAAATTCTTAGCCCCCAAGTGCAGAACCTTACATTTATCAACATTAAACCTCATTGGCCACATAGTTGCCAATTACACAGAGCATTGAGGTCGGCTTGTAAGTTGAAGACATCCTGTAAGGACTTTATTTCACGGCACAGCTTGGTGTCATCTTCAAAGACTGAAATGGGATTTATAATCCCAGAACCTATATTGTTTATACTGTAAGTATATTAAAAAGTAAGGGTCCTGTAACAGAACCGGTACCCGACCGCACTTGGGTATATTCCGTTGAACCGCAGCTTCCCTGTCCGAACACCATCCACGGACCACACCCTTAAAATCCCTCAGGAAAAAGACAGCACCCAGCTCTTAAAACAGGAAGCCAACTCTTTATTTTAACACAAAACACAGGATATATACAGAGGGCGGGGAAACACAACCAGGAACAGGAAATACATCATCAGCCCTCCCTATCAGTGGGAAGGGCTACAGTGAACCACCCCAACCAACCCAAGACACAGAACAATGGGATGCAGCGATGTGGCAAAGGACATTGACCAACCCCCACACCAATACACAAACAGTACATCCCATAATAGTTGGCTGGACAGGAAGACACAGCACCATGGGGGGGAGCACATGGCAAACAAACAATGGACAGCCATGTGGCCTAGACAAAGGACAACACACAAATGCAGTAGACAATGGGCAACCACATGGCAGGGACAAAGGAACACACACTATACACAATACTGGGACATTCACATTCACACCCTGTACCCCTTAACAGGCACAGGGTGGGTTAAACATAATGAGGGGGACATGAGCTGACCAAGCGGTCCCCCCACCCCCAAAAGTCACTCCCGTCACAGGTCCCAACACTGAACCTTGGGGTACACCGCTGACACCACTAGACCATTCAGAGTATGAATCATTAACCACTACTCTCTGAATACCATCTTTTAGCCAGTTTTCTATCCCATTTACATACAGATTTTTTCCAAGCCTGTAGACTTTACCTTAGCTGTGTGTGGGAAACTGTGTCAAATGCTTTTGCAAAATCCAAGTATATCACGTCCACTGCCACCCCTCTGTCCAAGTATACCACGTCC